TTCCGAAAAATACGGTACTTAGTAACTCTGATAGTGATACTAGTAGGAAAAATAGTTTGATAAATCATTCTAAGCATACAGTTGTTTAGGTTGATTTGATATGTAAAAATGTGCCTATTCCATAGCCATTTAAAAGTTGCTGCTGACTGTATAAAAATATATAATTTATATGACTTGCTCTCCTAAAGTGTCTGTAAATTACATGTTTAATTTTAAATATATTTATGTTTGATATATTTTTGATTAGAGAATGTTTGTTTCATCTCTCTTTACAGTTTTCTGAAGGGTGATACTGAATCATACACCTTTTTTTTTCTCTAGTACAGTTATTACAAGTATCACACTGTATTCTATTGTGACATCTTGTTTAATAATTGCTTTAATTTAATTGTACATGTAATTTGCCACCATAAGAAGAGGATATCATACATTCTCTTACAATGTGAGCAGAATTGGTTAATGGTAAATTTAAGCTATTCATTAGATTTAGACTGATATAGGTGTAGGTTCAATTTTAAATTTTAGACTTCAGATCTAATTGTTAGATAACAATATAACATAGTTCATGTAACTACTGTTGATAACATAGTACTAACAGTAACACCTGTAATGTTCTTGTTCCATAATCTCTTTGATTTTTAACTTGCACTCCATGGATATTTACAAGTTTGACATTTGGCATCCTTTATTACACCAAAGTCTGTAAGAAAACAAAACAAAAAGCCTTTTATTTCATATGACTCTTCATTATAAGTGTACCAGTGGTAAACTTCCAAATGAAATTCCATTTAGTTGATTATGTTCATATTGTTCACAATGGAGATTGAATATATAACTGATTAGAACTAATTAGTTTCCAAAAAATGCAGAAATTTATGCTTTAACTAGGACCACTAGATTTTGTTTTGGATCAGTGGATTTTTCTAGCTGTGGACTAAGCTATTCTGTTTCAAATTCATTTTATTGTCAATAATATGTGACATGGGAGGAATCAACACAACAACATGTAAAATATAAACTGACTCTTTTTTTAAATTTTTTTTTCAATTTTTACATGTGTTTATTGTAAGAAAAATGATTTATTTAAGTTTCGATGAAATTTGTTAGAAAAAACTTGGTGGTCACACTAAAGATAAAGTTTAAGTGGATACCCAGTCAGATGAATGGCTTGATTTGGCAGCCATTACAGTTTTTACCATGTGAAGCTAATGTCAAATAAAAGTAACATAGTGACTGTACAGGGTGGCCCAAAATTATCTTTCTTGTTTTAAAATTTAATAGTTAAATACCTAAAGAAACACAACTATGCAGTAACGTTTTGTAGCCCAACTCAAATAGTTTTTATTGTCATATTTGTTTTCACTCCAGTGAGTAGTGTTATCCCATAAAATGGTAATCATGCAAGTAAAGGCTCAGTGGGATGGGCCAATTCTGTGGCCTCCTTGTTTACCAAACATTACTCCACTAGACTTCTTTCTTTGGGGGTATGTTCAGGACATAATGCATTGCACACATATAGCAAACCACAGAGCTAAAGACCAGGATAATGGATGCTTGCCACTGTAATTGTGGACATGTTGCAGTGAACATGGACTTAAATTGAATATCAGTTACATGTGCTGAGAGCCAATAATGGTGCACATGAAAAGTCTACTGACATGTAAATAACAATTGTTTGAAGTTTGGCAACAAGATGTTGAAAATTGCATGGTTGTATTTCTGTAGTTATTTAATTATTAATTTTAACATGGGAAAGATAATTTTGGAACACCCTGTATAAGATTATTTAAATTAACAAACTACTATGCATGCTATTACTGATTTTATGAGAAATATTCACCAGGTAGATGAGACATTGATTTTATCAGAATAATTTTTAATAATAAAATACTGTTCATGTTGTTACTGATTCTTTGGGATTTCCTTGGAATGAAACTGAACAGACATTACTTGAAGTCTTTTTTTTTGTAATTTTGTTGACAAATAAAGTTTAAGTTATTGTTTATCAAATGTAAAAAAATAATTAGAATACTATGTATGCATAGTAAATAAAACAAATTAGGGAATTTGTTTTTGTATATTGTAGGTTTATGTGAGATGCAGTTAATCTTGAAATTGAAAATTGTCATTTGAGAATGAACAGGCCAGATTTTCATAATGGATTTTCGGATGCACGCCATGTCACTACCATTCCCATTGATTACCAAAGGCGGGACTACCCTGTTGCTCGTGAGTTTTACTTTTCCTAAGCTAAGTAATTTTTGTTGATGTATTTTATTAATTTAAAAAAATTGAGAAAAAAAGAAATAGAAAAGGGCAAATTTTAATCTTGTTAACCACCTATGTGTTTACTGCAGGAACTACAAGGTATGCTGAGGATCCAGAATGGGAATTACCTCATCGGCGACCTCCTGTAGCAACAGGTATTAACTACCATAAAATCCAACACAACACTCAGCCTCATGGAGCACCTGGCCATCATCCACCACAAAACCCCCATTCAATACCTGTAGGGGCTACATATTCTCCTCAGACAAACATTACAACTTTGCATGTTCATGGAGGGACATACCATCCTCCCCAACAAGTACCACTGGGTGGAATGAGTTTTTATAGTCCATCACATAGCCATAGTCCAAATTACCACTCAACACAGCCACAGACTGTAAGGGCACATCAGTCAGTGCCAAGATACCCACCTGAACAAAGACGCACAGAGGATGAGTGGAAAAATAATGACTACACTGGTATCCAGGAAGTCACAAGTAAGTATTTCCTTTTGTAAACATAACCTTGTAATAGGTAATTGTTATTGTTGTACACTGTGTAAAGAGTAAACTTTGTATTACTGTACATATATATGAAAGGTTTTGTTTTGGTCTGCTTAATTTTTTAAAAAGTTTGATAGTTTTTAATTTAAACAATTGAGCAAAGGAAGCAAATTTTGATTATGTATCAACATACACCTATAAATTTAAAATTTTATCACAGCTGTTAAAGGCCTAGACTACCCTAGTTACCCAAATGTTAAAATAGTGAATCAGGCAAAAACAATCATTTATTTAGTTCATCAACATTTTTGAGTCATACATTGGGAGTTTAAGCTATTGTGGATAAATTTCTATTATGTCATATAAAGTTGTTTTTTTTATAGTTCTCAAGTTCTTGTGAGCTTGTTTATCCCTATCTGTATTCCAGACTGGAGAGCATTTTTCAGGTGTTGATTGCACACCTGCTTATCAAACTTCAAAATTTAAGTAGAAATAACAATTCTAATTGTATTGAAGAATTTGTAATTCTCACAGACATTTTAGAATGGACAATTTTACATTTTGTTTACATTTATTTTAGTGCAATCTGCAAAGAAAACGAAAAAATGCTCAAATGTACATTTCTGTGAATCTCTAGGGATTCTTGACTATATACAATATACTTATTGATTATTTTAGAAGTTTTCTGCCCATCCCAAAGCATAGGTTTATATTTGAGAAAAACTATCATATTTTGAGAAAATTATTACCCATATTTTGTTTTTCATGTAATTTTTCTTCTATTTATTATTACATCCTCTTGTTTGCACCCTTTCATAATATAGCAGCACATGGTCTCAACAACTACTAATGAAACTTATCTTTCAAAAAACTACAGGAAAAATATAAATTCCATTAGATAGAGCAGATTATAAAATAATTACGTTAACATACAGTAAATAAAGTGGTGTGAAAAGTAATTCCTGCAGAGAACAATGATGGAATCTAGTGGGAAATTTTGAAGATTTAGGCACAAACTACAGCTTTGGGAATTTTTTAAAGTATTTTTAGATGTTCTTTTCATACCTGAAAATGTATTATGATATATTTGTTTGAGATCTTGGGAAATTTTCTTCATGAGACGGCATCAAGTAAGCCTAGTTAAATTTAATGAAAGTGAGTATGGTTAGGGACAACAAAATATTCTGATGATTCAAATCTTTATTTATTGAATATATTGTTAAGTTTATCATATTCAACAAAGCACATAAGTAAAATAATATATAATTTATTGAAAATAAACTGTATTTATTAGATATAAATTGATCTTCATTAAGAATATTTTTAACAGAGATATTGTTACCTAGTTTAACCTGATACCATTTCAAAAAGTCAGGGCATACGGTGCCTTGCAAAAGTATTCACCCTTACCACTAATGTCACATTTTGATGAAATACAAATAATGTAAAAAATGTTTTGATGAACTTGTTTTTATTCAAACCTCTAATGATCAAACTTAACACTGTTATTTGTGAAGGAGGTTGAATGTCAGCAAAACCTGCAAAAAAAATATAAAAATTGAAATTTGCTGATTGCATAAGTATTTAGCCCCCTAAGTCAATACTTGGTGAAAGAATCTTTGGAAGCAATTACTGCTGTGAGTCTTTTTGGATAAGCCTCTACCAGCTTTGCACAATAGGATGGTGTAATTTTTTCCCATTCTTCCTGGCAAAATTGCTCCAATTCTGACAAGTTTATTGAGGATCGTTGATGGACTGCAATCTTCAACTCTTGCCACAAATGTTCTATTGGATTCAAATCAGGACATTCACTTTCTTCTTTTGAACTCACTCCAGTGTGGCTTTTGCCTTGTGCTTTGGATCATTGTCCTGCTGAAATGAGAATTTCGACTCAGTTTTAGATTCTTGGCTGACTGCAGCAGGTTTTCCTCTAGGATTTGCCTGTACTTTGCACCATCCATTTTCCTCTCAATCCTGATAAGTTCCCAGTCTCTCCTGATGAGAAGCATCCCCATAACATGATGCTACTTGACAGTTGGGATGGTGTTGACTGGGTGATGTGCTGTGTTGGGCTTGCATCAGATGTAACACTTTGACTTTAGACCAGAAAGCTCAATTTCTGTCTCATCTGACCACAAAACCTTCTGCCACATGTCTGCAGTATCATTTACATGCTTTGTCACAAACTCCATACGAGATTTAAGATGATTCATTTTCCATAATGGCTTCTTTCTTGCCCCTCTCCTACACAGGCCAGCTTTGTGTAGGGACCAGGATATTGTTGATGTACAAACACTGACTCCCATTTCAGACATGGAACTTTGCAAATCTGTCAAAGCTACTATTGGCTTTACAGTGGCATCACTAACCAGTTTCCTGCTTGCCCAGATGCTTAGTTTGGAATGGTGGCTTGATCTGTGTAGTGACTGGGTGGTATTACACACATTCCGCTTCTTAATGATGGACTTCACCATACTCATAGGGATAATCAGTGACTTTGAAATTGTCTTGTAACCTTCTTCTGATCTGTGCTTCTCTACCACTTTATCCCTGACTTGTTTAGAAGGCTCCTTGGTCTTCATGGTTAGTTTGTTGTATCACTATATGAGTTGTGGCTTGAACAGATACATTTACTCTGCAGTCAAGTTAAACTACATTGATTATACATAGATAGAGACCATTACACTAATTTTGTGACCTTTCAAACTAATTTTTTGCACCTAAACTGATTTAGGGTTGCCGTAGCAAAGGTGTTGAATACTTATGCAATTGAGAATATTCTAATTTTATTTGAAAATCTAACTTACTTACATAATAATGGCATTTTTTAGCTTTTTAAGTTTGGAGTAGATTGTGTTGATTTGAAATATAAAGTCCCATTTGAAAGTGTCATGACTGCAAGCTCAGATGGCAACAAAATGTGGAAACTGCAGGGAGGATGAATACTTTTGCAATGCAAAAATATTGGTCACCAATAAATCTTTGTCAGTTTTTGTGATGTTTTTTATGATTTATAGCTGGAAGTGATGACTACTGCAATCAGTGAAATAAAGTATAAAAAGAAGTGAATATTAATCAAGTTGAAAGTGATTGGATGAATAAAATGAAACTTTCTGATCCACATTTAGTGTCGCAACAAAATTTGGAAAACTTGAAATATAGAAAATAACAATAAAGTTAAATCGAGTGATATGGATGTTTATAGTCAAAATCAGATATTATTTAGTATGTTTATTGTAAGTTTGATTAAATTTAGTTAAATACTTCTACTGTGAGAAATGAAAAAAGTCCAGAAATATCAGTGAATACCCTTCTAGTCCAGAAAGGTTTAATGTTACTGAAAAAAAAGAAAAGCTCAGGAAACTAGAAAAAGGAAAATTTTCTGAAAACTAATTTTTTTATCATGAACAAAAATATTTTTAGAAGTTATGAATTTTGGTTCTTGTTACTTAAATTTTGACACCAAGTTAATGGTTTATGAAATGGCATTCAGATGTAAACACATTCAAAATCTAACCAAACCCAAATTTTAAAATTAACAGTATTTACAAATAGTTAATGGGGTTAAATTATGTTTTAATGAACAATTTTAACATTCAACAAAATAATGAATGACTGTGTTCAGTAATATTACACAGGCTTGTTCACTGAATAGAAATAGTATTTTAAAATATTCTGTCTCTGCTTGGGTAGAGTTCTCGCTATATCAGTTCTGACACATAGTAAGGGTTACTGGTTAGAGATAAACAGTTTTGTTCTTTAGTTTATATCATCATAGGGACATTCCTAAATTGTAAAAAAAATATTGTCAAATTAGCCACAACCCGCAAAACATTTGCAGTAGTTTTCATGACCTTTGCTTGAATTTTCCTTGTAAGCAATTCTTTCTTGTTAGCGTTATGTGTTAGATCAATAAATCTTGATCTATTTGTAAAAATTTTATTATGTCAGATGCAACCTGCAAAACATTTGCAGTAGTTTTCATGCTCTTCATTTGAATTTTCGTTATAAACTATGCTTTCTTGCAGGCATTATGTGTTAGATTGATAAATCCTGATCTATTTGAAAAAATTTTATGAGGTCAGACAAGCGAATTCATGTAGATGTAACTTTATTTAATAAAATTACATGTAAAGTAAACAATAAATTATAGTAATTGTATTTATAATATTGTACAGAGCTTGAAAAAGTTATGAGTGTTCAGTGTATGACACAGTTTTCCAACTTAAAACAAAAAACTTGCAAAAACGAAAAATAAAACATGTACTAAAGAAAAAAGTATTCAAAAATTGTTTATAGCAGTCTATGAAATAAACCAAAGATAAGTTATTGCAAAATAAAGTAAATGTAAAGTTTTAATAAAGGCAAACTTAGCTGAATATACAGAAATGTCTGAATGTGTGTTCAGAAAGT